GGTAAATCCCAAACCTTTTTATATTTATATAGATAGATTATCGAATGCATGGGCGTAAATGACAGGTTCGCACGTTTGAGAGTCTTATTTGACTCATGCTTTTTCATTCGGTTTTAATAACTTTTAATTTAATAAAATTCATAAATAATTATGGTTAGAATTATCTATAGATATATTGGATATTTATGATTATTTTTATGAGCATTAATTGTGTTTTAGTATAATTTCCAGTTTTGGCCGTATTTTATAAGGAGTGAAATTTTTTCCTCAATCTTTCTTTTTCTCCAAATATTTTCCTTTTTAAATTATAATACACATTACTAATATGTTAAGTTGTAAATATATTTTAGAAAGTTAACTTTTACATTTATTACCAATTTACATATATTGTATACCAAATCAATCATCTATTTGTTAGCTTCGATTTGACATTTATATTGTATGAATAAATAAATTATGATATATATATATATATTTACAAATAAAAATTAAATCATTATTAATTTTAGTTGAAATAGATAGAATTATTTATCAATTGAATAACTTTAACTACAAAATAGATATATGATGTAAGTTATCGAGTAAGTAGTATATGATAGTGTCATTTTAAATATAAATAATAATAATATATATTTTCAGAAATACATTTAAAATTAAAATACTTTTTTTTTATTACTTTTTAAATTTATGTATACATCTTTTTAACAAACATCAGTGTAATACAGAAGTACTATACTAGTGGTTAGTATTTGAGAAAAAAATAGAAATATTAAGGAACTATTTTCATTTTTTTTTATTTGTTTTGCTGCCCTGTCTACTGTATAATAAATAAAAATTATTCGACCAATAGCTGTCAAGGGGTGTCTCTGTGTGTGTGTGTGTGTGCGCTCAATAGGCCATCATATGATTTGTTGCACCTGCAACATTACCATAGGATTCTCAATTTCTCATAGTGGACTGTCTTCTCCTTGAAAAGTGGGCTTCTTTGTGAGGGCTGAATAGCCCACGTGAAGCCCATTTTGTGTGAAAGGAGTGGTCCCGATTGTAACATTTTTCCTATAATAAGTTAATAATGACACTATTAATTATTTTATTTTATCATATGTGATTTAATACTTATTGTGATGATGATTGTGTATAATTAATCAAATAATATCACAATGTAATTTTAAGAGTATTAAAGGGTGTTGGGATAAGTTAAGAGAAAAAAGCTTTTGGTCATAACAAGTGATACGTAGTAATTAAAAATAATCATTCAGAAATATTAAAAAGATTTTTTCATAGAGTACAAGTTAGAAAACAAAAAGACATCTCACAGCGTGCACAAAATGATTTTTATGATCTATAGTAATTTTATATAATCTACTTTTGTATTATTGTTGTTATAGATATGAATACAACTAGATGTCAACCGCTCGATCTTAGCCAACCTAATTAGGTCACTAAGCCAATCGGAACACGACCAAATCGGGTCTCCATGTGCTAAGTGCTAAAGTCTACTCGAGCCTGTGCTAAGTCTAAAGTCTACCTGAATGTGTTAGATACAAAAGTTGACCCGAATTGTGCTAAGCGACCCAACGGTAAACTCGACCTAAAACTACCTAAAGCATGACCCAAATATGCAAATGACATGTGTACTAAACGACCCAACACGAATGGGTTAAATAAGTATACCCAAACGATCCAAAGCTCTAATATGTGACCCAAATGAAGAACTAAGCGATTCAAAGCTCTAAACGACATAAGGCTATAGTCCGCGAGTCGGCCGCTCATGCGACCCAAAGCTCATGCGACTCAAAGCCCTAAACGACCTAAGGATATATATATATATATAGTACGTGACATGGCCGCGCGTGCGACCCAAAGCCCCAAACAACCTAAGGTTTCAGTACGCGACTCGACCGCTCATGCGATCTAAGGCTATAGTATGCGAGCCAATTATCATGCGCGACCTAAATAAGCCACCTAAAGGACCTATGTAATGCTCAACCCGAATGATTTAGGAGCTATAATTTAACCCGAGCGACCTAAACGCTACTCGACTTAAAAAGGTACTGAAGTCACCTAAAACGATAAAAAAGGACTCAATGGCCATAATGATCCAAACAACTAAGAAAAAGGGACCTAATGACTACGAAGTCTCAGAAGGCACCTTGACCTAAACCCAAAGGACCTAAAGGACAACGATCAAGTGTGAATGCACCAAGACAATCCTAGTCGTTAGGATAACTGGATAAGAGCGAATCTTGGGAAGCTCATCCAGGCAACCAGCTGTCTCTTTCGAGCAACCAGTTGGGGCAACCTGTTGTACTTTCGGGCAACCCATTATTTGCACCAAGATAGCAATCAGGGTAATGTCACTATAAATAGAGGGTAATAAGTGTATGCTCATCTTTCTCTTCTTCCACTTCTTAATTATTATTATTTGCAATTACATATGATCTACCGTGGACCACTTCCGTCTCCGACAACCGGGTCATCAAGCTCAACTGGAAGTTTTTGAGAAGCTCAGCCAACCTGAACCGGGTTTTATTTGGTGGGGTATCATCAATTGTGTTTAAACTAATGCTTCAGATAATCAAATTAAGCTTGTCTGGGAAAAAATTAAAGAATCCTTAGTGTGCTTAAATTGGACCATATTAATCAAAGAGCCCATCATTCAAATTCCCTAGACTTTCTACACAGTAAGTAAATGGACTTTGGTAGTGATGGACCCATATGTGGGCTTGGGGGCACACCATGATATTTCTTAATGAGGAAGATTACAAGTGGTTGCTAATGCTAAGGTCCACATACGATAGTTTGTACTTGTCTTGATTAGCACTCATAAATCCACTTACAACTGAGGATTGAACATCATTTTCCCAATCACTGCTCGAATTTTATCCAAGTCCACCTAAACTTATTACATTGACATGATTTTTTTTCAAGGGTCTACCATTATATATGCCATTCAATAGCTATGCTAATTTACACAATAAAAGGTGAAAAGTTGCATTCAATCATTATATATTTTCAATCATTATATATTTGTTATATATATGTACAAACAAAGCATGTACATTAATACATTGCAACAAAAAAAAAAAAAAA